GCACTAGCAATTTTCTTGGCAAATTTCTTCTCATGATACATGTAGGAACATTGATGAAAATACAATAGTAACTGTATTTTCTGTTGTGACATTTATTTTGAAAAACATCATGATCACAGTCCTGCATGAAGAAAGTTGCTAGTGTGAACAATAGTTACAATATAAATCTTGTAGAAAGTTGCTGGTGTGAACCACATCTTGGCAGTATCTGTTGCACGGCATCAATTAGCCACCCAGACAAAAGTGTTACTAGTTGTTGTAAAAAATTCAATATATAGCATATTATGATATTTGTTGTGTTGGTGTAGTGTATTCAGGTGAATAAGATGCTTCTGATATTACTCTGAGTGTATATACACACAAATCCACACCGGGCAGGTTTGAATACAAAAATATGCACCGGGCACTGTGTGCATCCACACCTGCCCGGTGTGGATACACACTCAGAGTAACATCACAAGCATATAGCATATTGCTTTATACCACACTAATGATCAGATGTTCATACTTTACTACAATATAATATAATAAAATGCAATACATGTAATATCATTCATTGTTAAACATCTAATGAAACTCCCAAAACAAAGCAGATGTAAGGATTAGAGAATTTTTCCCCTGACTATGTTACATGATGGTAATGTTATCTCCACCAAAACTATCAGTATTTATATCTCAATGTTGGCCAGATAACTATTTTAGCCAGAATGTTGAAACTGCTATACTACATTTTTGTTCACATGGCATGAAACATGGTGCTTGAAATCAGTTATCATATATCCATACAAAAAGATAATGAAATATATAAAGTAGCTACAGGAAATAGAACTAGAAAACATTATAGGTGGCTATTTAAGGACATAATTTTCTGACTCTCAACCAGCACTGGATAATATTCCCAAGTCAATCAAACTATTCTCAACTCATAAACAATACTTGTGCTCTTATGTAATGTGAATTGTTATTATAAGGCAATACATTCTTCCATCTTTGTTTCATCGGCATCCAATCTGTATTGTTTCTTCTATATTTATTCCTCTCTTTAAATTTGTTTCTGATTGGTTAACCACTATTTCTCCACACTCATCACCATGTTTATTCGATGTTAGTGTTGTACAATCTGTAATGTTTAATTCCATGAGCTCAAGGTAACCTATAGTAGAGCATAATAGAAATTTTATTCAGTATTTGTTCAATAATGTCATATAAAAAAATTCAATATATTCTGCTACCAGAAAGTTCATATGCATCTGGAGATGCCTGATTTATGAATTACAAAACATTAATCATCCAATAACTCGATCCCAGTAGCATTTTGATAACAGCTCGCCATATAAAGATGGAATCAGTTTTATCCATAGATAAGGTATCTATGGTTTTATCCTTGACTGAATCAAGCTATAGTACTGAGCCGAGGTGAAATACTACAAATATACATCAATACATGTCTCGAACAAGTTGAATAATAAACTCAGAGATTCCATCTTTTCTCAGACAGTAAATGAATGTAATTGCCCTAGCTTAAAAATTGTCACAAATTCACAGCGAATTAGAGATCCAGTCACGACTCAGGAGAACGAAATAATCAAATGTATAAACAAATATTTACCTTTACCCATGTACGACATGGTGAAGCGCTTGACTGAATTTCAAATAAACACACTTTAAAGGCATCCTTGTTGGCGTAATATTCTTTCCTTCTTCTCATATTGTTTCAATGATTTGTTATTAATCGGATTTCACTTCATAAAAGTCACAAATCGTTGAAAATCTCTTCGAAACTGTGTATTCCCACTCCTTGTATCAACAAATATAGAATCGCGGTTATATTACGCAATCGGACTGGAAACCATGGAAACGAGAGATAAGTAGTCTACCAAAACAAAAAGAATCGCACATGCGCAGCACGGACTGTAACCCGTCTTTAAGATTATAATTTAATTAAGCCTTCCGTTTGATTCCTTAAAATATTGTAAATGTCATAGCCTGCATTTAGGGCCCGGAATGTAGAACTCAAAGGATTAACATAACATTGTATAGGAGATTAGTTGGACAATTAGCAATTACTTAATATATTCATATTTTGAATATAAAAACGGTTGAAAGTATTCGGCGAGGGCATATCTATAGTCAACATCAAACAGTCTAAACGAAATATTTTAATTCTACCCGAATGATGCTAGCAAAGGATAAGTGAACTCTAATAAGATCTACATTTCTACATCAATATTGCTATCGATCGCCCAGTTGGGGAATTAACTGTAAGTTTGTTTATTTATTTTACTAAATCATTGTAAACTAGGTAGTTTATTTGATTTTGTATTTACTTATAGTTGAACCGTATTAAATCGTATTATTTACGCGTTCGAAAGTCTTGATTCGGCGATCGAGGAGTTACAGCAACATCGCAGGGTATATCATAGCCATGTATAATCCTCATTGCTCTTTTTTGAATGCGTGCCAATGACGATTTTAATTTCTCTTGTAAGCTAAAGTTAAACACTTCACAAGTATAAGTCAGGACGGGGCGAATACACGTAACATAGAATTGCACTAGTTCTTAGTTTGAACTTTTGCACGTTTCAACTGAGATAAAAAATACAGACGCTTTGATGCCTTTTTGCAAATTTTTTCAACGTGATTGTCCCACTTAAGGTTGTTTTGAATGGTCAAACCCAGAAGTTGAAAAGAATCTACAATTTCTATAGTGGTGCCATTTTTATGTAAATCATCAAATGTGGAGGGAGCTTGTTTAAAGGATATTCGCATTTCTTTGCATTTTATTGGTTGGATTTGAAATTTATTCTGAATTGACCAAAATTTGATATTTCGTCCACAAAAACCTGCGCGGTGGTTTGCACATGATTATCCACAATTTCGAAGGATGTTGTATCATCGACGAAGATTACATTTCCGTCTGATGATTCAATTTTTAGATCAATAATCATCACTAAGAATAACCATGGTCCTAATTTGGAGCCTTGAGGAACGCCCGCTGATACCTCGTCCCAACTTGAGGGGATATCATTCTCCAATTTAACTTTTTGCTTGCGGTCACTTAAAAAATCGTGAATCCAATTTAAAATATAGGGATTGATCCCATAGTTTTCCAATTTACACATCAGCAAATTGTAGTCTATTAAATCGAACGCTTTCTTGTAATCCATCAATATTACTCTCACTTCTGAACCCGTAGCCTCAGTAGCTTCAAGACAATGGTGGATCAGGTATTTTAGGGCATGTTTAGTGGATGAAGAGAGAACACTACCGTATTGGTCTGGTCTTCTATGCTTTAAGACGGCAGGTTTTACATGTTTTTGTACAACATACTCTTCAGCGATTTTCGATAAAGTAGGCATAAGAGAAATCGACCGTAGATCTTTATTAAATTCTTCGATGGTCTTATTCTTTTGGTAAAGGGATGACATTGGCCTTTTTCCATTTGGTAGGTAGAACTTGTTTTTGGAAAAACGATAATACTAATTAGAGGACAAATGAATAAATGATTATCGCTATAGAAGGTTCTTTTCTTTTTCTTTCCTCGACAAGGACCGAAAGTTGGAATGTTAAGTTTTTGCCGTATATATACATACATATATATATATATATATATATATATATATATATATATATATATATATATATATATATATATATATATATATATATATATATATATATATATATATATATATATATATATATATATATATATATATATATATATAAATATATATCTATATATATATATATATATATATATATATATATATATATATATATATATATATATATATATATATATATATATATATATATATATATATATAGCCTGTCGGTACTACTAGTGTAAAAACATTAGTGAGTTTGGCAACCAACAAAGGCGACGGCAGAGAACAAATTTACTTATACATTTGTATTTGAGCCAGGGCCAGATTAATCATATGGCAGAAGGGGCTTCTGCCATCGGGCCCCGCGCTTTTAGGGGCCCCGCGCTTTTAGGGGCCCCGCGCTTTTAGGGGCCCCGCGCTTTACTCAGTTTTAATTTTTTTGGCGCGTGGCTAGACTAAAAAAGGGCGCCAAAAGCCGCAAGGCCACAAAAGTAAGATAAAGTTACTCCAAAAAGCGAGGCCCCAGAAATAAAAAGCATGGCCTTTATTAAAGCTTAAGCGATCGGACCAAAATAAAAAAAAACGCGAGGCCTTAGAAATCAAAAGGCGAGGCTCAAAAAGTCAAAAAGGCACCCTTGCAACCAAATAAAGCTTCGCCCAAGAAAATTGCAGGGTGGTCGCAAAATTTAGAAATTGGAGTTAATTCAGTTAAAGGCTTTACTCTAAACTAATAGTCTAATATAAAATTATAAATACGGCAAGAATAGTTTGCAGAAGACGACAGAGTTTTATGAAGCCTGAAGCCATCATTCAACAATCATGCAAGTAGGCAGGTACGTCTTTTATTTTTTTATTTTTAGTACTTATTCAGGTATAGGCCCTTAGAATCATTACTCCTTTTCTATTTTAAGCCTGTGAAATGACATTATTGTTAAAAATGACTCATTGTGTATTTGTGTCACCAGAGCCAGGTGTTTGTCTCACTTTACAAATAGCGAGTTTCAAGTATACAAACGTATTTAATTCTTACTGACAGTTGACTAGTCGAGATATTCAGATAAATATCAAATTCAAACGCTCTCTTTGGAAAGGAACTAAACCTTGGTATGTTTTAATTATCATTTTAAACTAATGTTAGAGTTTGTCATTTAATCAAATATAAATCAAATGTTGCGCATTTTCGAACGAATATTAGCCCTATAAATTTGTATGAACTTTCAATGCTGTCAACGCATATTGATAATTATTGATAAAGCGGCGCATTATACATATTTATACAAGAGTTTTTTAATGTTTAGGTGTGCTACTTTGCGGAGACAGCGGAGTTTGCTACAGACGAGCTATAGGCTCTATGAGTTCCCAAGTTGGACGTGGCGGTGGCCGCGACCGGGATAAAAATATGAATCTGGAGCGGAAAAACGCAAGGCAAATGAGGAACGTGTATTACGGGAAAGTAAGGTTTTGAGTAAAGTCCCTAAGATATCCACACTGTTTTTCCCAAAGACCAGCGGTGGCAATATCGGTGACAATGCAACTGGTTGCAGCGCACAGGCCCTTACGGATTCGCAATCCGTTCGCAATCCTGTTGAGTCGGCCATTAATAATACAGCCACGATTGCGACAATAGTGACAGATTCTGTGCCCGAGCAATCTGACGAAACGCTAACAATGACATCTGACCTTTCTTGCGATCCATCTACAGATGCCTATTCCTGTGATTTAGGGATGTGGCCTCCCTATGTTTCGGATAGTTTGAGAGAATACTGGGTAGCAAAAGGAAGTAGCGAATGTAGAAATTTGGATGCAGATTTCAGCGCATCTTCCAGCAAATTTGAGGAGATAATTACAAACGCCAGTGCCAGAAAAGCTTGTTCACGTACACGCATGAGCTCACAAAACAGCAACACCCTCGAACCTGGCTCTGTTACTCGCCATCTAAACATGCAGTTTTCTGCTTTGCACGTAAACTGATGAAGGACAGTAACGTTTTTGGGAAGCAAGGATATAAGGATTGGAAACACGCATCCAATAAAATCCCATGCCACGAAAAAAGCGCATTGCACCTAGAGGCCATGATTCAGCCCCTCCAACGCAGTGATGCTGGCTGCCGTGTTGATGTGGAACTAGTAAACCAGGCCAATGCAGAACGCGATTATTGGCGTGCTGTACTTCAACGGATAGTAGAAACTATCCGTTACCTATCTGAGCGTGGTCTACCATTTCGTGGCTCAAATGAAATATTCGGATCACCCAGAAACGGTAACTACTTGGGTACATTGGAACTGCTCGCCATATTCGATCCATTTCTTGCGCAACATATCAAACGTAACGCAAACAAGGGACGAGGTCACACTTCCTATTTGTCGAAGATAATTTGCGATGAATTTATCTATTTGTTAGCAAATCGCGTACGCGAGTATATCGTTACGGAGATGAAGTCCGCCAAGTATTACTCAGTTTCTGTGGATTCGACCCCTGATATTTCCCATGTTGACCAACTCACCTGCATTCTTCGGTACGTTTTACCATCAGGTCCTGTTGAACGATAATTAACTTTTCTTAACATGCAAGGTCACACTAGATCTAGAAAAGAACTAGCAGAAAGCTTGCTCGAGTTTTTGAAAGCCCATGACATCGCCATTGCCGATTGCCGTGGTCAATCTTACGATAATGCGAGCAATATGAGCGGAAAATATAATGGCATGCAGGCCATTATTCGGCAACAATGTAATCTGGCTGAGTATGTACCCTGCGCCGCACATTCCCTCAATCTGGTTGGTCAGACTGCAGTAGGTTTTGCACGCTGGCCATTGGATTCTTCAGGTTCCTTCAAGGTCTAATGGACTATACTCCTTCTTTTCTGCTTCACCGCATCGTTGGAAAGTTCTGATGGATCAACTGTCAATCGAGGGCCTGCCAACAGTCAAACGCATGTCAGATACTCGCTGGTCAGCACGCGCAGACGCCACAAAGGCTCTAGTCAAGGGCTATGATGAAATTAACGACGCATTGGTAGAAATCGCAGACGACGAAGAGGAGAAAGCCGAAACCCGAGAGGAAGCCCGCGGACTTGCTATCAAAATGAACCAACTCGAAACCGGGATTCTGGCAGCTCTGTAGCATCACATCCTGCATCGTTTTCACGCGAACAGTCAAGCCTTGCAATCAGCCGACCAAGATCTCAACTCCGCAGTTGCAATCTATGAATCACTCATGGATTTTATCGGTAAGCAGCGTGCAAGATTTGAAGAGTTTGAGGCTGAGGGAAAGAAGCTCAGTCAATGTGACCAGTACGTCGGAGAAGAGAAACGAGTGCGCAATGGAAATCGCCGTTACGACGAGCCAGGATCTGCGCCGGAAGTGTCGCAGACCCCTGCCAATAAGTTCCGTACGGATACGTTCCTTGTCATAATCGACAAAAATGACGTTGAGTTGCGGAAACGACTGGGCGCATACACCGGAATTGCACCAAGGTTTGGCTTTCTACGAATGCTCAAGGGCCTTTCAGTTGAAGAAGTGGTCGAAAGTGCGACGATTCTCCAAGAGGCATACCCGACAGATCTAGAAGCCAGTTTGTCTGATGAATTAGTACAGTCTTCTGGTTTTCTCCGCACAGATTTTGCTATGAAATCATTCGATCATGTGACTACTGCTTCTGCAACTTCTTCACCAGCTATGAACGATACATCCTCTGATGAATCTGACGACGAAGATGACTTAACGAAAGATGACAACGACGTCACATTGAACGCAGATTCATTGGAATTGGGCATGTACAGGCTTCTTCTGGAGAACAATCTGGAAACTGTATTTCCGAACACTGTAATCGCATTGCGGATCTATCTTAGTCTCATGATCTCGAACTGTTCTGGAGAACGGTCCTTTTCTAAACTTAAGTTAATTAAGAATCAGCTCCAATCATGCATGACACAGAAGCGACTAAACAGCCTTATTCTACTTAGTATTGAAAGTGATCTGCTGCGTAGCATTGACATGTCGTCGATAATTAACGAGTTTGCTCTTAAAAATCGCGTAAGCACAACGTTTACAAAGCCTCTGCAGAATGAGTTCTTAATAAAAGATATGTTACATCACATGAACATTTTACATGCCGAGAATCGCCGCATTGGAGCATGTATATGAAATTTATGAATGTTTAGTCGGTTGACTAGGTTTGACTTTTACTTTATTAAGTTCTCTAATAATTGTTAAATTATTGTTATTGCTATAACTTGGGTTTATGACAGTTCAAATTGATTTACATACGTTCTTGTTTTAATATACAGGCTGTTTTTCACATCATGGTATACATATTGATATTTTTTAATTTTTCTGATTTCAGGGAATTCTGAATTCGGGCCGGGGGGGGGATGGGTTGTAATGGCCCCGCGCTGAAAAAATACCACGGGCCCCGCGAAAGGTTAATCCGGCCCTGATTTGAGCGAAAACATACATTACTAAACTTTTAAAAGCACTTATCTTTCTTTCAAACAACCCTGAAATTCCCTGAAGTAGCAATAGTAAGTGAATTCACATAAACACCGCAACGACTTGAGTTTGAACAACTACGGCGTATTAGAATGCTCAAGAATGCAAATTATAGTCGTCTTTGTCTTAGAGTGAAGATGCTATTGTTGATATAAGAACGTTGCCGCTGTATTTGCCAAACTCTCTTTGTATACAGCCAAAACATCGTTTCCGTCTAGAATATTGTTAAGAGCTTTTGACGGCCAATCCTTTAACTTTAAACAAAAATTTAGTTTTCTATACAACTGGTCTAATACATCTTTTATCGCTATACAACGATATTTTTCGATTTGCGCACTTTCTGTTGACACCTTGAATCTATTGTTGTGTAAATTGCATTACCTTTTATGGCAGTTAATAACCAACTACTCAATTTCAACCAATGGGAACCCTGCGTCGTTGTAAGCAACGCACAGACGCGTTTTTATTAGCTATGCCTGCAGGCTCTCTCTCAAATTTCAAAGAGAGTTCAAAGAGAGCCTGTTCGCAGGCTGTAACGATACCAGTATTTGGTTTTGACATACCACCGATCTTTTTGCAGATCGACCACTATTTCTTCGGATCTACGTGTTTTAGATGTTCAATGTTGCTTTTGTAAAATTTCGATTTGATAATTTTTTTTCGCGGTTGACTTTATTACGATAAAATTTGAAAAGCAACATGTTGTTCTCTTTCAAAGCTTTTTGAAAATGGCGAATTAAGTCCTTAAAGTGCTTATGAAACGATCTCATTCCCAAGTTATCGCACTTTGTATATTTTGAGTTGTGACGTCACAAGAGGACTTGAAATAATGGCATTAACAAGAAAGTCTGATATCTTGGTGACCATTTAATAAAATTCAATGAAACTTGGCACTTTGTCGGTGTACCAAAGTCAACAATTTGGCTGGTTTATACGGTTGTCATGGCAACACACTCGTCCCCAGTCCCTTCTCTTCCAATTTCTATGTGATCCATTTCCAACGAAATAAAAAGCAATTTCTGCAATTTTCGCTCATTAGTATAATACGTGTAGGTATTGTGATCAGTTTAAGGTGGCTCCCTATAGTTAGTACAGTTTAAATACGATTTATATAGATCAGACTTCATCCTCGCGACCTGCGCGTGGAATCGTCGTGTTTACTGTTCGGCAAAAATATTGAAACAAGCCGTGGGAAGTTTTTTGGCGTTTTTATCTACAAAGAAAGCCCGAGTTTTTCATTATAATCCTAATTTTTTCTGAATTCGAACAGTACGTATGTTATTAATTAGTTTAACCTATCTTTTAGTGTGTTTTTACGTATTTACGTTCAGTATTGTCTTTCATATTGCTCAAAATTTTCAACTTGTTGTATTGCGAGCTGTCAAATTGAAATGATACTGTCTTCTATTAACTCTTGAACAGTAGTGAACTGTTGTCGAAACTTATATAAGTTCTGTCAATCAATTCAATTCACAGGTATCGTTTTATCTGCTAAATCAAATAAAACAGTTATGAGTTGTTTTATATGAAAAGTTAAACTAGTAGTTCGATATTTTGAAAAGTTTTCACATCGATTTTAACAACAAAAACAAATGTAAACTAACACTGGATTTAATACAATGCTTATAATAGTGTTTTTTATTAGTATTTTCAAGATTAATATTTTATTTTCATATCAAACAAGTCAGAAATATCTGTGTTCTTATGTATTGTAAGCCAAAAAGTTGAAATCACTATAAATCACACGCTACAATTTACACGCATGCGCAGATCGTGCTCATGTCGAGTCGATTTTTTTTCATGCTGGCCACGCCGATTTTAGCGATGATTTTCTCGTGTTTTCTTCTGTGAAATTTTTTTAAACTTTGTATTTTTGTTATACAAGACGAGTGGTACAACATATCCAAATTTTAAGAAATTCTACAATAACTTTTTCTGTAACCGTCATTCACGAATATCTCGAAAAATTATTTGTAAATTCCCTTCAAATTTTGATATGTTTTTCCTTTATGGACCATAAATCTTCAAAAAACATTTCAGAAAAATTCACCGAAGGAAAATATAGATATTGTCCATTTATTGTGAAATTAGACAATAAAAGTGCAAAAGATTAAACGTCATGGTTGCCATGGCAACACAAACACTGTTTTAATTTGTTCAAAAATGGCTGCACACAGCTTCTGAACTTTCCTGGAAATGATCATATTGCCTTGTCTTAGGTGTATCTAATATAAATTCGGTTCAAAGCGAACGATACTCAAAATACCTAGAATTTTAGAGAACTGTAGGGAGCCACCTTAAACCGTTATAACATGCAAACAGGACATTTGTAAAAAAGAAGAGAAGAGACTGGGGACTAGTCTTTTGCCATGGCAACCACATGACCATCCAAGAATATTCATATGTGTGCACCCACTAAGTGTGCCAAATTTCATTGAATTTTATTAAATATTGACCAAGATATCAGACCTTCTTGTCATTGCGATTATCTCAAGTCCTTCTTGTGACGTCACAATTCAAAATATACAAAGTGAGATAACTTGGGAATGAGATGAGATACGAATAAACTGTAAATATCATTCTTCATCATTTGAGCAGTACCTTTTAATAAAACAATAAAAAATGAGGCAAAAATTTCGTTCCATAAACACTTTAATTTAATTAAAGTATGGGGTCATCCAAGGGTGTAATTTTGATGCAATTTAACAAGTTTTCAGGGCATCATTGAATGTAAGCTAATCATAAGTGCGTCGTTAAAATAATTTAACTGTTCTTCGATGGTAGGCAAAGAGTTAAGTACGGACCAATCCATATTGCTTAAAAATCTTCCTAAGGCTTCAATTGTTCCTTTTGCGCACTGGTGTTAATTTCTTTGTACTGGACGAACTTGGCCGTAAGTTTGGAAAAATGGTAAAAATTTTTCTCAGGATTTTGGTAAAATTTAGCTAAATTAGTCAGAATCAACTCCAAAGTACGTTCACCTCTAGTAGGAAATTTAACCAGTTGTTTCAGATGGAATTGATTTGTAATTTGGTAAATGTTAAGGCGGTCAAAATTACCAGCTATTATAATCGCAGGATGGGGAATAGTGCTTTCTATTTTCGAAAGGGTATCAGTTATGTGGTTAATCAATACGTTACCGTCAGCAGCTTTCTCAGAAAGAAAGGGCTTTCAGCTTTCTCAGAAAGAAAGGGCGAAAGAATCGGCTAAAAGAAGGGAGCCGACGTTAACGAAGGTAAGTTTGTTTTAAATATTTATTTTATAAAGGCTTTAAAACCCGACGGCCTTAGCGTATATGAAACAACTAAACAAGACAGCATATAATTTCAGTGTATCTTTAATATTGATTCCATTTTTTATTATATTGAATTTTTAAATAAAAAAGAAAGCAAAGTTTTTGCAAGCGAGAATTTGAAATCATTTTTACTGCAAACTCAAAGTTTATCGATAAAGCCATTTAATTACAGGCAGTTTAGTTTTATAAAGAACACTTTAAAACGTTTTGCGAAGCGTTTGTGGTTGAATTTTACCTTAAATTGAGGCTTATATTACGTATAATAACATACCTATCATATATATGTTTTGATAATTTTGTAATTAAAAGTGATATTTTTAGGCGATTTTTCATTTGT